CTCGCTTGCGTTTACTCGCTAAAAACTGTGTATTTGAGGGCGCAGAAGACGCCATGATTAGAGACCGTCTTGTATTTGGCACTAACTCTGCTAAAGGTAAAGGAAAACTGATGAAACATTGAGCACAGCTTACGCTAGAGAAAGCAATCCAAATAGTACACAAGTTTGAAAACTCTCAGCAGCAGCTGAAGACGACGGGGGTCGCCTGTGACTGATAATTCCGCCAGAGCAAGTCCGAACAACGTCAGTGCAATGACCCATCGAAGACCGCACTTACGAGGGCGAGGTAGAGCAAACGTGCGTCATCTCAAATCGACAGCACCATCATGTGGGGGAAGCACTCCACCTAAAAGACAAAGTGACCATTGTGGACGAGAAATTTCGAAAGCGCATCAGAGCAAGTGTCCGAAATGTTGCTTTGATCACCAGGGAGAGACCAGATGCCCTGCAAGAGGAAAACAATGTAGCAAATACAGGAAGTGGAATTACTTCTCTAAACTTTGCGCAAGTGTTAATGAAATTCGTGAATCAGAATATTTTGATGTATGATGATATGTATGAATCAATTGAAAATGGTCATGTTAATGAAATTGACACCTGATAATTATGATGGTTTCTTTATTGATTGTATTGCCACTTCATGTACCAGTGTTAAGAATAGTGAAGCATTTGCTGAATTAAATGCAACGCATGCAGATACACGAAGCATTGTAAATTGTAAACTGGATATAGTGTCACAAGTGAATGTCCTACCTCTAGCTATATCTAAACGCATGAGAAAACAGTACTCTCTTCACCAAGCCCAAAACCTTGTAGAGTGTGGGGTTCCCCACTCAAGTCAATAGGTGTAATAGTCTTGATTTTAATAATAAAGGTAAAAGGATAAGAACAGATTTTCATATTATTGATACGTAAGGGAAAAGGGCTCCACCCATCCTGGGACTACCCTCTTGTTAAAACCTAAGACTTGTCAAGTTGGTTGATTCTGTAAGCATTTCCCCTCCCCTGAGGTCTCTTGACAAAGAAACCGTACTCACCGAATTCAACGATGTATTAAGGGTATAGGTCTGTTCCCGGGGTAAGTTAAAATTGAGAATGACCGGAGCGTTCAACCAGTCGTATACCCACCGCGTAGAGTAAAAGAGGTCATATCCAAAAAACTGAAGGTTGAATTGGACAAGATGGAAAAAGAAATGATCATTACTAAGGAACCAATTCAATGGATCAATTCTTTGGTCATCACAGAGAAGCCTAATGGATCCCTCAGAATTTATTTAGATCCGAGAGATCTAAATAAGGCTATACGTTGCCTATATAACCCTACGAAAACCTTGAATAATGTGCTTCCTCAGCTTTCTGAAGAAAAATCGCTAGATGCTCGTAGTAGTTACTTGACCCTTAAATTGTCAGACGAATCTAGCATGTTAACAACTTTCAACACTCCGTATGGCAAATACAAATTCCTGAGGCTCCCGTTTGGTATTAAGTCGTCTCAGGAGAGTTCCAAAGTAAAATTGAGGAATGCTTCGATGATTTACCTGGCCTTGTTGCCATAGCTGATAATGTTCTTGTCTATGACAAACCCAGACAGAGCACGACACGAACCGGCGTGCTGTTCTCCAATGAGCCAGAGAGAAAGGTATAAACCTAAATTCCAAGAAGCTAGCTGATTTTCAGACTGAAATAGATTATTTTGAACATATAGATTCAGCACAAGATGTTCAGCCTGACCCTGAAAAGGTCAAATTAAAGCCATCAGTGATATGCAACCCCCCAAGAATCGCAGTGAGTTTGAAACTGTGTTGGGCATGATTACCTATTTGGCTATTTGTATTTGGTTGTCCATATTGTGTGCACCTATGGATTTTGTACTGTTTCCATACCTGATCGTTTTAATGCGTAGACATTAATTTTCAGATCTCACTTATATCCGATACGCCAAAATAGACATTTTAGAAAAAAAATTAACGTTTCATTTTTAAGAAGGAAGAAAGACGTGAAAAGTTTGTAGAAATGAAACAGAAATTATCTCCCCCTGTATAAAAAGCAGATAAACTGGTGAATGATTATGAGGATCAAGGGTCCCTTTTCGAAAATTATGAAATTTGAGGCCCCAAGGTGAGGCGTTCCATAGGAGGGAGGTTCTATTAAGTATATAGTAAAAGTGGATTATTTCTTCGAAAATCTTCTCATATCTCCTGTGTATTAAGGAAACAAACCAAGTATATAGTTATGATGAGCAAAGGTGCATCTTCTAAAATTGTGAATTTCATGGCACCTGGGTCAGGGCTTGTGTAAGGGCGGGGATCTATTGATTATACAGTGAAAATGCATTAATTCTTTGAAAATATTCTTCTCTACTCCTGGGTATTTAGCAGATAAACTACGTGCATGATTATGATGATCAAGAGTGCGTCTTCCAAAATAGAGAATTTTTTTGCCCCAGGGTCAGGGGTTCTTTGGGAGTGGGGGCTCTATTGATTATTGAAATTACATTATTTCTATGCAAATTTTCTCTGATCCTGGGTGTTAAGCAAAAAGCAGACCAGGTGCATAGCTGTGATGATCAAGAGTGCCTTTTCCAAAATTGTGAAATTTATGGCACGGGGGTCAGAGGTTCTGCAGGAGGGGGTATGGGCTATGTTGATTGAATAGTGAAAATGCATTCATTCTTTGAAAATATTTTTCTCTACCCTGAATATTTAGCAGATAAACTTATTGCATGGTTATGATGAGCAAGAATGCCTTTTTCAGAAAGTATTAAATTTATAACCCCTGGGTCAGGGGTTTTGGTGTTAGGGTGGGGCTCTTTTGAATAGATAGTAAAATGCATTATTACTTTGAAAATCTTTTCTATCCTTGGATATTTAGCAAACATACTAAGCGCAAGGGTGCATCTTCCAAAATTGTGAAATTTTTGGTCCTTAAGTCAGGGGCTATGGTGTTAGGGATGGGGCTATGTTGAATCTATGGTTTATTCTTCTAAGGAGGTTATTCCCCATTGCTATTCACTTATGAAAATTAATTACTGTGAATAAAGTAATTGAAAGGTCAATTGAATGATACATGAATTTTCATAATATTTTATACAAAAAGTACTTTCATAGTTTTTGTTTTGGTGATCAGGTAGACTTTTTAAGAATAGATAGATAACAATGGGACAAGAACACCTTATCTTTATACATTAAATGTTCTTCGAAGACTACGAGAGGCCCATGTGAGAGGGAATATTAATGACATGGGTTTACTAAAAGTGCTCAAGAAATATTGTTTTGTTTAGCCCACATGAGCATAGTGACAAATGGGGGCAAGTACAGGCAAGTAAATAGATCAACTTAAAGATTTGTTACTGAGCACTAAATTATTTATTTTGATGATCCCTGGTAATCCTATTTCTCTTGCTTTTAAGAAAAATAGCTTCATTTATCAGCTCATTTTGTTTTATTCAATCTATGAATCCTTTGCAGAGTTACATTATACTCAGGTGACCGTCACGGCACTTGGACCTTTTGTATTGATTACATTCTTATGATTATTCCCTGAACAAAGTCTGATCAGCACGGACTAAATGTATCTAAGTTCTGGACTGTACGTCCAAAATGGAGACATATCCTTGAATGTATTCATCAATATTTTGAAATCCAATAGTGAAAATGTGTAGACTTTACATATCTCCGTAGTAATGTACACTTAACAGTTACATACTTGAAGATTACTGCCATTTTTATCATTAATGGTTTCCTTTAAAAAATATTTGATCTTAACCAGGTTTTCAGAATTTTTATCATTAATGGTTTCTACAAAAATATTTGATCTTGACCAACTTTTCAGAATTTTTTTTTTTATCATAAATGGTTTCTACAAAAAAATTTGATCTTGACCAGGTTTTCAGATTTTTTTTTATCATTAATTGTTTCTACAAACTATTTTAACTTGGCCAGGTTTTCGATTCTCTCTTTTTTACTGGAATATGTTAGGATTTCCTTTGTCTTTCTCTTCATCTTTCTTTTTTTCATTTCTTGCTTGATTATATACTGTGAAATAACTACTTTTCCTTGGGGATTTACTTTTCTTTCCTTTCGTGGTATAAAAGGAACCACGAATTCACATCCCCAACGAAATGTAAAACTTCAAATATATGATAACTCAACTCAAAATCAAATCACCACGACCCAATATTCTTTTTTCTTTTAATCACGAAAATTTGAACCCAAGAAAATATGTAATTTTACTCTAGTTGATCGATCTTCAATTTTCGACTTAGTTTTCCGGTTGCTGCTTCTTATTTATATGGTTGGCTAACAATCCACCTTGACAAAAATAAAACGTACTGTAAATAAATGCTCTTCCCATTCACTCACATCTCTCTTTGCCGATCAATTTTTTCTTAAGATGTCCGTTTTTGTACTCATTTGAAGATCATTTGTAATCCTACACTCGTTGAGATTTCACCCCAGAATTGGAAGTCTACCCCAGTCTTCTTTAATACTACTTTCAAATCAATAAAAAGTTGTTCCATTTTCCATTAAGAAATGAATTTAATAAATAATGAAATATATACATGTATATACACGTGTACATGTGCGTGACCTGTTCATTTTTTCGTTAAAATTATTATTAATTTCCATTGATTTATTGTGAAAAAGAAATATTAAAAGAAACATGAAAAATGTTTCAGAAAACTATCCACTTTGTTTCACTTTTATTATCTCATTTAATCATTGCCTTTGGTTTTTTTTTTTAGACTCGAAGTATCTAGCAGAATATTTAATGTCTTTATATTGTACACTTATGTAATACGCCAGTTTGTTTCCCCTGGTAATGAGCGCCTTTTTATCCCCCAACCCTCCTTTTCAAATGGATTTTACTTTGCATTTGGTTGGTTCTTACACATGACAAGGATTACATTTATTTTTTTCAGAGACGATGAAGTGTACAATACATTGGAATATCAAATGTCCAAAAGGTGATTTCGTGCCATCTGATTGGATGCTTCTGTGTCACGCCTTAAAACACGAGTATTTAAATATGTTCACGTGGAAATAAATTTAAGTATTTCATCCTGCTTTTGGTAAGTGAATTTTCATACATTAAATTCTTCATTTTTTTTTCTCTCTAATAAGTAAAGAAATCAGTTCCTCAGAAGGTAAAAAGAGATTAATTATTATTTATTTTCTTTTATGTTTTAAGATAATGACAAAAAGATGAAATAAATTAACGAATGCAATTTATGAAAATAATTTTAAAGCTATTAGCAGGGCACCACCTTCAAAAAACCAAAAACCTATAAACCAATTTGATTACTTAATTGAAGACATTCTACCTTTTTGACACATATGCTATAAAGGAATTGTTAGGAATATATCTCTCAAAATAGTTGGAAATCATGTCTACATGTAGCCTACATTACATTAGTTACATGACCAAACTCAGTTGTACAAGGGAGAAAAGCAATCAAAATAGTTTACCTTGTGTAATAGCTTATAGAAACATTATTCAATTACAATTGTCATGGTTGCTATGGCAACACTGCAGAGCTACATTCTATTTAGGGCATCGTTTAGATTAAAAGTGCCGTTACCTGGGATTGATTGATTGATTGATTGATTGTATATTGTTTTACGTCCCATTCGAGAATTTTTCACTCATATAGAGACGTCACCATATACCGGTGAAGGGCTTCAAACTTTGACCTTTACTCGGCACTCAGGGTCATTGAGCAGTGAGGGATCTTTATCGTGCCAACGCCTGCCGTGACACGGGGCCTCGGTTTTTAAGGTCTCATCCGAAAGACCCGCAACTTTCACTTCAAAGTGCCGAGCGCATGGCGAAGGAACAGTTGCTACCTATATTTTATCAGCTTAGGTCTGTCGCGGCCGAGATTCGAACTCACGACCTCCCGATCACGAAGCGAGCGCTCTACCGACTGAGCTACCGTGAACGGTCTCCGTCACCTGGGAAGACTTGAAGAAAAATGCCTTATGGGAGGACAGTGGCATTTTCCGTTGGTGTTATTCATTGTTCGATACCTCCTTCACACTGTTAAATCACTCGTTTTCTGCTCGTTCTTCCCGTATTTGGTCAGCGTAATGATTTATCACAATTTTGCATTTTGCATTGTTATCCTATTTATATGAGTCGTCTATTTGTATCTCTCGTTAAACATTTGTCTTCTTGATAACTATGATTTTAAAGTGTAAATGTTATATATATATATATATATATATATATATATATATATATATATATATATATATATATATATATATATATATATATATATATATATATATATATATATATATATATATATAGAATTTGATTTTTTTTAGAGTATTTAGACTTTCACAGAAGATAACAAGAAGAAACAAGAATGGGATATGTCAGTATCATTTGACATTTTTGTTGGCGGAATATGATAGTATTTAGCGCTAAATTTACATTATTATTACACGTATTATTATTATTAAGGTCTTCCGTCTTCACGGAAGACCTTATAGTGATTCTACTGTTTCTTATTATTATTATTATTATTATTATTTTTTTCCCCAAAATTTTGTGCAGGCGATTTCTCAAAAACTATTCAGTGGTTTTAAATGAAACTTTCAGGAATTATGCGTCGTCAAATGAACTTTGTTCATCAGAAGGAAAATTTGGAAAACTCGCTTCTGGTGCCAAGTTATTGACAGTTTTCTGATTTTAAAATGAAATTTTGTCCCCCCTTTTTTTCAAAAATGGTTTAAGATATGAACTGGAGACTTGTTAGAGATGATAGGTTATGTCTTCTAGATGAGGGGAATCACCTTTTTGTGCGTCGTCAATACTTCCGGTCGTTATCGGATGCGAATTTAAAAAAGTCGTATTTTTAAACTTTTTTGTTTTTCTATATTTTTCTTTTATTTTAATAAGGTTAATAGAGACTCTTCTGAAAATGCTTTATATATAATTTATTTTAGAATTGATCAATCCAAACTCTAGATATTCGCATTTCTAAATTTGAAGCGGGTCCAAAATGGCTGCTGTCTCCGTAAACTCCGATAAGTAGGTCAGAATTTACGGAATCAGCCGAGCGTTTGTTTGAATGAAAGTACCATAAGGATCAAAGAAATGTGAAGGAAATGTTGGATTGTCACATCACAATTACGTTGCAATTCTGTTTCGCAATAGAGTTTTAATCCGGGGTTTCCTCAAACGTCTACTATAATTTTTCTTGTCTGTATCTCAAAGTAGAAAAACGACATGACTACAAGTGGAAATACGATAACTACAACCTTTTGTTTTACACCACGGAAAAACTGATCCTAAACCATGGTTATAAGTAAAAGCTTTTCAAGAAACTTGCCTGACTAAAGCAATCAATATATAGTAATTATTACGTGGCCATTGTTTTTTCCCCATGCAGGCTTGTGTCATATTAAATGAACAGAAATAAGAAAACCATTTTTTTAAAGATTGTTTAATGAAAATGATTTAAATATTTTTTTTCTAAAAGATGTTGTTATTGAACATAAATGGTATCAGATTCCTTGACCGTCGCAGGACGAGACATGTTTTTGGGTGAAACATTCTAGTCTTCCCATGAATGTGTAACTAATCGGGATAGTCCACTTTGGGGGTAAACAGGAAAATAAAACTTGTAGAAAATCTTACCTAAATCACTGCTTCAGTGTTACTTATCCATACGATATATAATAAGTACAATATGATAAATATACTTTCTCAAGCTCGATATTCAGGTTATAAGAACATACATTTTGAAATTTCATTGAAACCATCACCATTCAATAGAAAATACATTCCGAAGGATATGCGCGAATATTTACCCGTGACATTTCGCGCGAAATAATGTATCGTGATCAACCTTTCGTAGTAGACAAATGGTCTGATGCAGAAGTATATAGAAGTGCAGAAAAAGATTACATGGACATGCCTGTATATGGAATTACATGAAATAAAAAGTTGAATACATAAAGAATAAAAGAAAGTAAACAGTATCAACAGAGAATGGCTAAAGATATGAATATGAAACTTGCTGAGGTGATAGAGCATCAAATGTAGATATATTTATCGACAATTAATTTTCGTCGTTCTTACTTCCGGTCGCAAACGAAAGTGAATTCAAAAATGTTAAATTTGCAACTTTTTTGTTTTTCAATATTTTTCTTTGGGATTTACAGGGTTAATAGAGAGTCTTTGAGGAGTTTTATGTATGTTTTCATCTTTTTGATTGAAAAAGTTTGCAGAGATTTTTTTTATAAAATTCACTTCCGGTCGAGTGATTACCTGTCCTCAAAATTAGAATTTATTGTCACAATATTGCTTGGCAACAGTAAACGACTGAAGTCTAAAACTTTCAGGTCTGATAGTCAGTCATCAGTTTATTTGAATCGTGAGAAAATCTTGTATTGCCGTTACTTCCGGTCGTGACAGGAAGTGATGCAAAAAAGTGAATGGTTAATGGTTAGCTTTCTTGGATTTTCACGCTGAATTTCTTTTATCACTTTTTCAGAGTGAATTTTTGCTTTTATTTTCAGAATCGGACGGAAGACCTCTCATTGCTCGCAATGAGTTTCTAGTTATTATTATTATTGTTGTTGTTGTTGTTGTTGTTATCAACTTCAAGTGAATTAATTATTTCAACAATTAAATTGATGCACGGAACAATTAATGAATTGATTACAGAGTTTAATAATTACTACTCGCAATTACTTTTGTAAGGACATTTTTTTAAATCAAAGATGTCTTCAATTCAAACATCTTTTATCTAATTAATAATTTCGTCAATAGAAGATATATCTAGTTAAAGGTATAAAAATCATTTTTACTGAACTCTGAATCAAGCTTTGCAAGCAAAACCTCATTGTTGAGTGCTGCAGCTGATTTATTGAATTGATCGGAACAATGATTGGTTTGATGGGCGAATGGGATGAACTATTGCTCTCATAAGATCCATTGATTTAAGTCATTAGATTCAGAATAAATTAATTCCCTGCAAACAATAATCAAACACAAGAGATTCTTAAATAATTTTATTTTAAAAAAGTCATCAATTAATTAAGTAAATGTAACTTTTTCCTTCCCTAAAATTGGTTATGACTTATCTTAATTACATTTTATAAATGAATAGGCCCATCTAAGACATATTGGAAAAGAAATAGTGGTTGGCAAGAAAACTACCCTGAGAGTGAAATATAACGAGAGAGGAAATGGAAAACAAGGGTAAGTCTCTCTCTCTCTCTCTCTCTCTCTCTCTCTCTCTCTCTCTCCAGTTCCTCATTAATTTATGTTATAATTTTTTTTTAAGCGGAATGGCCATAAATTTTAAAAGACATATGGGCGACTGCAGCGATATCATTCTGCATTTCAATCCAAGGTATCCAGCATATCAAATAGTTTTGAACTCTTTCGTTAATCAAAACTGGCAAAAAGAAGTTCTTGTTGGTGCGGATCCGACGGTATTTTCGAAAGAGTTTGCCTTATCATTGGACGTCATAGATGAAACAACTGTCTTGATTAAAGTCCAAGGCGAACTATTGACGACATATATCTGTCCCGATGATATTACCAAAACGGAATTCATAGAGTTCTCTCCTGAATACAGAATTATTGAGGAGAACAATGGACACACTTGTAGTTATTAAGATAGTTCAAGATGAAAACTCAAACCATAGAGTTTTATAAAATCTTTATACAAACCGTGCATTCAATTCATGAAAATTGTATCCTCAGTTTTAGAGAAAAAAAAATAAATTGTCTCCAAATAAAATTTGTATTTCAAATATCTGTTTCATTTTTTTTTTAATTTTTGATTTATTTATTTATGTATTATTTTGTTTTGTTTTGTTTTTTATTTTACGAATATGCCAAAATATCAAATAATTTGCATCATTTATTATATTTATGGTTTTAATTTCAAGGCTCGGGAGAGATATAAGGATATGCGAATTGAAAATATGCAAATGGTGAAGGCATATATATTATATATATTATATATATTATATATATATATATATATATATATATATATATATATATATATATATATATATATATATATATATATATCAATCACATGTTTATGTGAGATACATGTGGATACCACTCATCAGATTTTTGTTACCAGACGCTATCTCAAGAAGGCTTTGAGCTTTTGCAATGAAATTTTATACAACGTCTCCCTATGGCGTAAAAAAGACCCCTATTGATTTTAGGATCAAAAGGTCAACGTCAGGGACATAAATTCATACATTCTGTTTCTGCGTAACAATTCGTTTCTGAGAGAGATCTTTGAAATCCTTGATGTTTTGCAATGAAAGCGTTTGATTTTTTGCAATCTCAACTCTTAATGGCCTGAAAAATGACCCCTATTGATTTTGAGGTCAAAAGGTCAAAGGTCAAGATCAGAAAGGCAAACATTACATTTCATACTTATAACATTTTCTAGATGATAACTTGAGTTTTCTTTGAGATCTATTCAATGAGATTTTTCATCACATTGCCATGTGGCCTAAAAAAAGACCCCTTAGATTTGGAGGTCAAAAGTCAATGTCATAAATTCATACGTTCCATTTGTTTGTAACACTTTATTTCACTTATTTTTTTACAGAAGTACCGTTGATCCGGTAGTACCATAGGCACTGTATTCTTTTAAATTGCATCAAGATAAATAATTTTAAAGACATCATAAGCACCAATAAAATTTATATAAAAATATGCATATGAACTAAATCAATGGAGTTCTTAGACAACTCCTGTCTTTATGATCCAAAAAAATTGGTAAAATTGTATTTTTTTAACATCTTCTATGGCAGTTAGATTATATAAATGGAAAACACTTACATGTATATTATAATATATCAGCATCGTATGAAATGGATGGAACATGTAAATGTACAGTATTGTATTTGTTTATTATTTAGTCAAATCAAAGAAATAAGTTAAATAAATAATAAAACAAGCTAATTCAGAGAACTTGTGTCCCCCGCTTAAGAAAAAAGAAGAGGATTGAAGAACTGGAAAATTGTTGCAGATGGAGAAAGAAACTGTGTCAACTTTGACCTTTCAGCTTTAGACTTAAAGTCAATAGGGGTCTTTTTAAAGTTCAAGAAATTCATGAAAAAAAGTTGCATTGAAAAAAAAACTTAAAGAAAACTAAAAGAGAAAAAAATTATCTGAAAACTATGTTTCACATAGAAAATTTTACAAAATTAATTTACAATGTAACAGAATTTGATTTTATAAAAAAAAATTATTTTTAATTCTTATTTTAGACATATGCTTAACATTATTTATCTAACAATTAATGTTTAGACAGTAAAAAGGAAACTGTCACTCAATATTTATTTAAGGAATAAGTGTCAATTCTCTGCCTCAAAGAGTGTCCGTCTCGTATGTGTCATAATTGCGTAAAATGTGGTAATTGAAGTTTGAGTGAATGCCGTATGTTGTGGGAGAGGGTCAGTTTTTAGAACCGCCGTGGACAATCCCGAACGTGAATATTAGATGTACTGGACAATGGCCATTTTGAAAATTTTGAATAAAGATTGCACATATTTAGTTGATGTTCGAATATTTCAAATTGGACCAATATTTTTTCCCATTACTATATGATACAGTAGTAATCCAAATAAAACAACTTTTCTAGGTTGTAATAAGTTACTATAAATAGATTCGGGTATATTTGGGCTCAATTGTCAATCAAAACAGACACAGTTTGGAACAGAAAGAACAAGTGGTGTTGTTGTTCATAAATTATCAAACCTTACCTCACCTTGAGAAGTATGTGTATATTTCTTGTATTTGTTGTTATGGAGTTGATATCTAGTTATTATCCATAGTAACCTGTGTAATTAAATGTCAAGACATTTAGGATATCACAAACATCATGAATTTAAAGCAATATTATTAAAAACAGAAAACTTTTTATGTATCTAGTTGCACATGAAAAAAATAAAACAGTCACTCATCAACGGGAGTTGCTTTGTAAAATTTCATTGGAAAAGCTCAAAGGCTTCTCGAGATATCGCGGAAACGAAAGTGTTACAAACAGACAGAAATGCAGCTAGACGGACCTTCGCATTTGTATATTTTGTTGCTTCGAAACGCTTCGTCTGGACAACCTGATGAGAATCGAACACAGCTGGTGGGGTAAATTTGTCCTCTTGTTGTTAAACAATTGCCTGTATCAGTAGTAATTTTTATATGTGAAATGATTGAACGACAACGACAAACATTTAAAAGGTAGAGAAGGAAACTAGTAAACAGAATATCAAAATCTAATCGATTAAATGGTCATAATGTAGTAAAAATCATATAAATATGAAATAAAGAGCATTAATTAGTTAAATCCAGTATTAGCTTTGAACTGATTCTTTCTTCATATTTTAAGCAAGAGCCAGCAAAGTCACAGTTTAAAAAAGTAATTAAATTTGAAAAACTGTCAATTCCTGTAAATAATAAGGTAAACTTCCCATAATCGTAATTAAAGTAGTAGGCAGTGTGAGTATTGACAATATAATATTACACTTATTATCTATACAATACTGACTATAACAAATGGACCAGCTAAAAGTTATGGATGCAGGTCTATTACCAAGAAACTATAAGGCTTTTATAAACCAAACTTGCACAAATGATGCATCAAGGGATGAAAACTCTCAAACTTGCTTCAGATGCTGAATTTTAATTACATGAAGATTGAAGAACTAGTTTGAAGTTTTTATACAGGTCTATTCCATAGTATCAGATCAAAATTGCATAAATTTTGCATTTTTGGATGTACACTCTTAGTTGGGTAATTGTGTGACTTTGCCTTACTTAAAGACAACATTCATTTAGGTGAGCTCTGTAATCTCTGATTACCTATGTTTTGTATCGGTCGGGACCACTCATGCATTTAAGCTTTTTAATAATGAACTGATTTTTGCTTTTTTTTCCTAGACACAGTACGCAGGTGATCCATGTGTCCCCTGGGACTCTTGTTAGATTTTTTTTAGATAACACTGTTTATTAGCTTTACCCTCTCCATTATTCAAACCATGACCATGGGGATAAGGTTTAGTCACAATGAGAAGCCAAGGTTTAAATCTTGGCTTAGAATGTTAAGAAATATTCTTAAAAACCTTATTCTTAAAAACAGTGGTTAGTTTTTTTAGGAAGAATTATGCATTTAAATCTACTGAATAAAGTAATTTGAAAATATTATGTAAACATTTTTTTAAAGGTACACGAGGAAAAGAGCAGATGTAAAAAGCCAGCAGGAGAAGGTAGATTGTTGAAGATGTCTATTATTTTTAGGAAACAACACGAAATGTTTTTAGCTCACCTGAGCTGAAACTCAAGTGAGCTTTACTGATCACCTGTTGTCTGTCGTCCGTCCATCCGACTGTCGGTCTATCCATCTGTCTGTAAACTTTTCACATTTTTGACTTCTTCTCAAGAACCACTAGACCAATATTTACAAACTTGGTACAAAGTATCCTTGGGTGAAAGGGAGTTGTTTAGATCATAAAAAGAGAGGGCTAACTCCCCTTGCAAGGGGAGTTAATCAAGGAAAGACAAAAATCGAGTGAGGCCATTAAAAAATCTTCTAGTTCTGATCCTAGATCTTCTCAAGAACCACTTGGCAAGAAAGGCTGAATCTTATGAGGCAGCATCCTGTGGTACTGTAGTTTCTAAATTGTTCAAATCATTATCCCCCAGGGATAGAATGGGGCCATAATAGGGAGTCCAAGTTTTACATTGAAATATTTTAGAAAAATCTTTGAAATCTTCTTCTCAAGAAATATTGGGCCAGAAAAGCTGAAACTTATGTGGAAGAATTCTGGGGTAGTGTAGATTTCAAATGATGACTCCTGGGAGTAGGGTGGAGCCCAAATAGGGATTCCAAATTTTACATTGAAATATTTACAGAAAATCTTTAAAAAACTTCTTATCAAGAACTACAGGGTCAGAAAAGCTGAAACTTATGTGAAAACATTCTGGGGTAGTGTAAATTCTATATTGTTCAAATCATGACCACCAGGGATAGGGTAGGGCCACAATCAGTATTAGAAGGGAGGAATCTGTTTATGAACAGTACGACGAAATTTACTCATGTGAGAGATGTGGCCCATTGGCCTTTTGTTTTGGAATCACTTCTCCGTCTTGTTTGTCAACTTTTTTAATGTAATGTGAAAAATACATAAAAACTCAAGTATTTCTTAACAGAATATATTCAGATTTCATTTTGAACATATCAAAACATCATAAGATTAAGGAGTTATATCACTTGGTCTTGCTTTGACATGTGATAAAAAACTATAAGGGGTAAAATCTTTTAGCTTACAATACCTCTAGTTCATCTTAGTTTTACATACTCCTGTCATATGTACATGTATTTGTTTCCTTTTAGATGCATTTGACAAATTTGTTTGTGACCTGTTCACAGATATTGATACTTTTTTGCTGCATAAACAAAGCAACTGCTCTATCAATTTAAAATCAGCAGCAGAAAGTCAATGTCAAAAGGTATGATTAATCTTTCAATTGTTGGAATGAATCACCCTATATGTTTTTGGTAGAATATCAGTTCTTCATATCAATTCTTTATTTTTTTTAGTTTACTCATGTGACCTATTGCTATCCATTTTTGTCCGTTGTCATGCAGTTTGCATCTTGTGTTAACATTTGAACGTTTTCAGCTTCCTCTCTGCAACCGCTCAACAAATTTCAACCAAATTTGGCATAAAGCATCTATGGGTGAAGGGGAACGAACGTTCTTAATTTCATGGTCCCTGCC